AACCAGGATTAGTTTTTTTTTTAAATAATAGTTTCATCTGACTACCCAACTAACCATATCTCAGTGGCATTGTCTCACTCTGAAACTACATTTAAAGTTATTTTGTGATTATATGGTTACTTTGGTACTCGCATGAAATGTTGTACCACAAATTCAACAACGCCCAACTATGGACAGCTAAATGTTACCATACCATTTGCTCTTTGAATCAGCGTACACCAAAATGATAATCTTCTAAGAAACACTTAAGAATGTATAGAGATAAAGCTGAAAAATTCAGTTTTAACTGATGGTACTTTATAAACATCAAACTGTCCAATATTGGACCCTGCCAACACACGGCACCTGCACGTTAATGTAGGCCGTCAGAATGGTTCATCGGTTGCGAAGTGAAGTGCTTCTCAAACTGAAACGATACATTTCTCAATTTTACAACGTTATCCTAACGTAAACTTTATCAAATCACCCATATGGCCGTCCACCTTCGAAACCCATCCACCACACAAAATCAAATAAATATGTTTCTGTATGTCAAACACGTCCAGACATAAACGCTATCTGACCAAATCGCAGGGTCAAAGTTTTTCCCCGCCTTACTCTACCCAAACATAAAATTTAAGCTGATTTAAAGCAGAATAAGCAATTTTAAGCTGAAAAAGCATATTTTTACCTTAATCTGCTCTTTTTCAGCTTCCAATGTTTGTTGGGTCTCCAGGAATATTTTGTAATCCTTGGGAAACAAATTTTAAAGAGATTTGCAAGAGCATTTTATGGAGCATCTTAAAAATAAACTTGTGCAGAATAGATAGGGAATTTCGGGAAGAAACTGAGAATGTTGATGTGAACTCCAAGGAAAAACTTAGGATAATTCAGCTGATAATTTGAAGGAATTTTAAAGAGCATTATGGGTGAAATTAAAACGAAATCTTGCGAGATTTATGGAGAACATAAAGATAAAAGAAGAGTGAATTCCAAAGACAACCTAGAAGGGATGCGATCAAGTCCATGTCATCTGTCAAAACCATTTTTCGGATCGGATTTGCATGAAACTTTGCATATTTTTTATATGGGCAATAATTCATATTTTTTCTTAAATTTGAACATTTTATTTATTTATTTATTTTTTTTTTATTTATTTATTTTGTCGTCAATCAGATGTAGACCATGGATCGTTTAAATTTTCAAAATGGCGTTTTTAACAAATTAAACAAAAACTGTAGTTCGGAAGTGGCATTCTTGAACCAAATGTCGAAGTTAAACAAAGTTGTAGAGAAAAATATGTTACTGAAAAAAAAATCATTTTTTTTTTATTTAATTTAAGAGCAATAAAAAAAATAAAAAAGCTCATGATAAATGCAAAATATTAGAAAGCCTTAAATTATGGACACTTAAAAATTAACAAAAAACCGTAGAACAAGAACTTGGTTTTTGTTTTTTGCTAATATGTTTTTTTTTTTTACAGAAAGCAATGCTTGAGATATTTTAAATGATTGTCTGTTAAAAAATACTCACACAAGCGTACTAACAGAAAGTTTAAAAACTTGACCAAAAGTGCGTGTTCTACGATTTTTGACATTTTTCAAATGTGTTTTATTTTAAACATTCCAAAAATTTACCTTTTTTATAAGCTTTTTTTTTAGTTTCAAAAATCTGGCAAGAACATTTTGCGATATTTGGGTTTTTAGCACAGTTGTTGAGATCCGTCATATAAACTCGACTCGCCCTAATGATCACTTTCAACCTATTGACTGCAATAATAGTTCAAAGGATTATCAGAGATGAACACGTATTCATTCAACGCAAAATGAGAAGGACAGAGAGTCAGAGCGTAGCAGTTCGAATCTCTTCACTCTACGTTCACTCTCAGACTTTCTCGGGAAACTTCTCCACCACTATCTTCCCATGTCCCGTCTACGGTGGACCGTCTATCTTCGTAGCTCCCGTCTACTGTGGATCATTCATATAAAACACCCATAAATAAACTATGTACACCTCCTTGCTGCACGAAGAGTCTATAGCCAAACAACTCGCGAATGGCTTACCTACATTTCGCATTCTGCAGCTAAGGTACTATTCTCTCCACAATGTCAAACTGCTACCGGTCGAAATGGAAACGTAAAGCACCATAAAACAGCTGCAGTCGCTCTCGCTGTATCGCTATGTGACGGGTGAGTCTGTCTGGATGAGAAGCCTCCCTCCCATCCCCCCAAAAACCAGCCAAATGGAACATCAACAGCCGTGTAGCAGCAACAACGTCAAGAAGTGTTTAGCGTTATACTATATCAGCAAGTTAAGAGGGCGAATCAACGCAATCACATTTATCCAAGGTAAAATATATGTTGGTAAAACAATGTTTTGGGAGCTGCTTGCTGGTTGGTCCGTAGCCTGAGGATTCTTAGCCCTACATGTTGTAGCATTCTACGAAATATCATTGCTTTTGCCTGTTTTAATTATTATTCTGCTGAACGACACCGCCAAAACAGGTGAGCGTTAAGGACGGCACGTTTCTGCCGGTGAATTGTATGGATCGTTGACGTTGGAGTAGTAGCACAGTGTTCGGTGGAGCTTTGGAAAGTTTTCTACACACCAACAAAGCGGAAACGTCATAACAGAAGTCCCATTTGGAGGCTGGTAATTGCAAACTCGCACCTACCCAGTATAGACGAAACATTGCGAGTCGAAGCGAATAAAAATAATTGCATGATGCACTAGTGAGAAGCAAGGCTTCCAGTCAGTTTTAACGAGATGAAACTTTTCAAGACAAGTCGGTATGGATTTTCAAACAATTTGTAGATATTGTAGTTTAATACTCTCGGTCTTCCGATGAGCCAACACAGGATTATCATTGAGATCTTTAATTTCACTGAAAGAAATCTTCGAGATTTATGCTTTGAAACTGGCATTTCAGACTCGATCCACGTTTTAGTTACTTGTTACTTTGACCTAGCGAATCAACTTACACGCACTAAGCTTTAAAAAGTATTTTGTAAACATTTACACAGTAGGTGATCATCCTAAGCATCCTAAGCCACGTTAAATTGAATGGCCCGGGGCAAGTGAGACCTATGGAAACAAAGTGTTTGTAATCAATGTTATCGATTCTTTTTGAGCATGTTGTGTACATTTGTAGTCCTTTCTTTTCAAAAACGTTACATTTTCATTAAACATGCTATGAACCAGCCCCTGGCTAAAACCTTGTAAATAAAAGAAAGAAAAAACTAATAAATACACATGAGGAAGATTTTTTTTTATAATGCCTTTATTTTTCCAGGCTCATATGCTGTAGCTTTACGGAGCCGATATTCATTGTCTAGATTACAAAATTACTTAAAACTAACGTTAGTAAAGCGGGGGCCGATTACTCGTGGCTATCTCGAGGTTAGCGGTAACAAATTGTAACAAATGGATGGAAGGGTAGGGATTGTGAACACAAGGTTTGGAGAGCAATGTGCTCTTGATCTCGAACTAGGCGACACTCTGATAAAAAAGGCAAACATGGGGGTACACCGATGGGCAGCTAACAACTTGGGAGAACACAAGATGACACTAACTACTAAATCGTCAGATCTATCCGTTTTAAAAACACATAAATTATATTCAAATAGTTGAAATCCCGGCTCGCCAAGACATCTCTAACGGGTATCGCGGGTTGTTTTCCTCGGGCCCTGAGGGATGTGGATAACTCAGATCTGGCAACACGGTGTAGGGTACACGACCAAACAACATGCTCGATATCGTGATAACCACTGCCACACGCACATAAATTGCTGCCTGAGAGCCCAATTCGATAGAAGTGCGAGTCTAACGAGCAGTTATTGGACATAACCGACACCTGTGGGAGAATAGAATGTAACCATCTTCCCAATTCACCATCATTCCATTTTTGTTGCCAACTGATGAGGACTTGCTGACGAGCAATGGAGAAAAATTTGTTGAAGGCGATTTGTCGCTCAAAATATCGCCTTCTATAGCACCCACCTTAGCCAACGAGTCCGCTTTCTCATTACCCGGACTTGAACAATGAGATGGGACCCAAGCTAAGGTGATAGTATAGGAGCAGTTAGATAAAGCACTCAGTTTAGATCGTATTTCAGGCAGGAAATACGAGGAGTGCTTTATCGACCTTGATTAAGCGGGGTCGACAAAGGCGCGAGAATCGGTGGCAATCGAACACTACTTCTTTCCGTTAGCAATAGGAAAAAAACGCGCGGTTCAAAAACGACACGAATCAAGATTTATTTCACTCTCCCGGTTATCGTAAGATAGAAGCGGACGACGTGTATATAGGTACGTTTGGATTGATGTGTATATTTCGACTGATCTGTCGGTCCAGCACAGAGATCTGATCTCTGCTGGGAGAATCAATATGTGAAAACGGATTGGCAAAAGGCCTTTCCGATCGATCACTGCTTCGATAGCCGAAAGCAGTGATAAGCTTATCTAACTGTGTTGCTGTATACATATAATGATCGAATGTGTAGTGTGATACAGAGGACGGAAATTCAATTATATGCTAAATCAGCACGAGTATTTTCTTGTTAGGGTGGTGCTCTAACATATGCCGGCCCCCGTTGAAAGTGTCGCCTTTCAACCAAGGAACACGATATCATCGGCTGCTTCGGTTCGCTTCGGTCGTCGGTACTGGTAAACGATTGGGTATCCTCGTGTTTGTTTGGTCTGCTACTTCTCATCTGGTTGTTGTTGTTTTGATGATCAGCTGTTTTCCTCCCACGACTAATCATATTCCAGCTCGGCTCGGATGACGTCACGGGATTCCTCACACGACAGTTCTTCTTCGGGTTGCAGGTAGCTTTACAGGGTTGTAGCTCGGTAGTCTTCAGTGTTGGGCATACTCGGATTGAGTAGCCATCGATGAACCAGGACATGTCGGAGGATGAAAAATTCTTAAGTTTTTTGTAAATTCAATTAAATATTAACTTACAGGGTTGGAGGCCCGCAGGCCTCCCGTTGCGCAACGCCGTAGCGATGCGATAGAAGACTCATTGCTCTGAGTTTGGGTTGGCCGGACTAGCGACGTCCGTTGTGGGTTGGCGTATCGGCAGGACGCATATCTTGGAGATGGACCGTGTGTACTCCCCGTCGGCCGTCCGCACAACGACTACACGGATGTTGTTATCCTCGCCACGGTAGACACGGGTGATTCGGCCGTACTTCCACTTCAGGGGTGGAAGGTTGTTCTCCTTGAGCAGCACTAGAGTGCCGACGTCGATGTTGTCCCGCTGTTGAGTCCATTTCGTACGTGGGTGTAGGCCAGAGAGATAATCGGTGCTCCAACGCTTCCAAATGCGTCGGAGAAGTTCGTTGTTCTCCTGCCAACGGTCGAGGCGGTTTTTTGGGATCTCGGACAGGTCGGGTTCAGGAAATGAGGTAAGTGGTCGATGTATTAAAAAGTGACCCGGAGTAAGGACTTCCAGATCGTTAGGATCAGCAGAGAGTGGAGTTAACGGTCTGGAATTTAGGCAAGCTTCGATACGAGCCAGCAGAGTAATGAATTCATCCTGGGAGAGCACAGAATTTCCGATGGTGGCCCGCAAGTGCTTCTTGAAGGATTTAACTGCCGCCTCCCACAAGCCACCAAAGTTCGGGCTGCGGGGCGGGATGAATTTGAACGCAATGCCGTCGTCTGCACAGTGGTTGATCACTGCTGCTTGGTGTTGTTGGTCGTAGAATTGCCTTCGTAGTTTTGCCAATTCTTTCGCTGCTCCCTTGAAATTCTTGGCGTTATCGCATTCGATGAGCTTCGGCGTCCCTCTACGAGCGGTAAATCGATGAAGTGCAGCCAGGAACGCGGCCGTGCTAAGGTCGTAGACGAGCTCTACGTGGGTAGCTTTTGTGACAAGGCACACGAAAATAGCTACGTAGCATTTGGCCGCTGATGCTCGCGGTGACTTGCGGTACTGGAACGGTCCGCACAGGTCAACTCCAGTGTTGAGGAATGGCAGCGTTGGCGTGACTCGCTCAGGTGGGAGATCACCCATTAACTGCTCGAGGTTGTTGGGCTTGCAGCGGTAGCAATTCACACAGGAATGCACCACCTTCCGTGCCAGGTTACGGATACGAAGTGGCCAAAACTTTTCTCGAACACAGGCGACGAGCAGTTGCGGCCCTGCGTGGAGATGTTTTTCGTGGTAGTGGACCAATATTCGTTCTGTGAGCGTGTGACGAGCGGGCAGGATCATTGGGTGTTTTCTGTCTTCCGAAATGGCTGCATGCCGCAGACGTCCACCCACACGCAGGATCCCGTTGATCAGAATTGGTGAAAGGTTTTTGAGCTCGGAGCGAGAGCTAACATGTCCACTGGTGCTGATTTCAGACAACTCTCGGGCAAATGATTCTTGCTGAGCGATCTGAACGAGAAACTGAGTAGTGTCATTCAGCTCGAACGTGGTGAGATGTCCAGTTTTTCGGTTGTTGCGGTTCTGGTACGAAACGTTGTGTTGGAAACGGCGTAGATAGGTGACTAGCCGCACCAGACGAGGAAATGAAGAACGAAGTTCAAACAGTTCGTTGGGTGGTACTGCTTGTACCGGCAGCGATATCGGACGTTCCGCTTGGGCGATGTTTGGTAGATTGTCAGGAATTGGTTGATTGATCGGTGGCCAGAAGCGAGATGGTTGATTCAGCCACTGAGGTCCAATCCACCAGGCAGGTGTATTTCTCAGGTCCGCAAGGCTCATACCACGTGAAATAATGTCCGCTGGATTCTCGGAACCGGGAACATGTGACCAGATACCTCCAGCGGTAAGACGCTGGATCTCCGACACACGATTGGCGATGAACTTCTTCCATCGAGCAGGTGGTGAACGAATCTGGCAAAGCACTATCATGGAGTCTGTCCAGAAGAAGGGCTTTGTCTTTAGGCTTATGCTCAAGCTGACCTTGTCGTACAGATGAGCCAAAAGAAGTGCCGATGAGAGCTCTAGCAACGGCAGTGTGATCAGAACCGAGTTCTTCGACTTTCCGCTAGGTGTCACTCTCGATTTAGCACACAGTAGTCTGACGGAGATGCTTCCGTCGATAGATACGGTCCGCAAGTAGACGCAGGCACCGTATGCGCGTTCAGATGCGTCGCAGAATCCGTGTAACTCGACGAGGACAGGATCTCGTGCGAACGCGGCCCATCGTGGGATGGATATCAGTGGCAAGACGATTAGGCTGTCGCGCCATTCCCGCCAATATTGCTGTTGCTTGGGTGTCAGTGGTTCGTCCCACGAAGTAGTAGTCTGCCAAAGTGATTGTACGAAGATTTTGGCCAGAACTACGACAGGACCAAGCAATCCAAGAGGAAGAAACAGTTTGGCAAGATCAGAGGCTACGACACGCCGAGTAATTACAATTTGAGTTGACCATTCGGGAACTGCGTAGCTGTACGTGTCCGAGGAGGGCTGCCATTGGATTCCGAGAGTTTTGATCGAAGTAGAGGGTGAATCCAGGGCTAACACTGATCGTTCGTCACGCAGTTCAATGGGAATTTTCGAGAGGACTTCAGTTGAATTTGATGCCCACTTGCGAAGGCTGAAACCGGCGGACTTCAGAAGCGCCAGTAATTGCTTGCAGAGTTCTTCTCCTTCTTCTTCGTCGTAGACACCTGTCAGCATATCGTCCACATAAAAATCTTTTGCCAACGTTAGCGACGCCAGTGGAAAATCTTCAGCACCTTGTTTAGACAGCTCTTTTAGGCATCGAGTAGCCAAAAACGGGGCTGACGCAGTACCATAGGTGACTGTCATGAGTTCGTAGGTGCGTATCAGTTCTGATAACGATCTGCGCCAGAGAATACGCTGGAGTGGGTAGTCCAAAAGATGAATGAGAAGCTGACGGTACATCTTTTCGATATCTGCAATCAGGGCAATACGATTCATACGAAAGCGAAGGTGTATGGCTAAGAGGTCATCCTGGACAACTGATCCAACCATCAGTGCCTGGTTCAGCGAAACTCCACTGTCCGTCCGACAGGAGCCGTCGAATACGACGCGTAGTTTTGTGGTTGTGCTGTCCGCTTTCTCTACTCCGTGATGTGGTAGGTAATAGGACGGGACAGCAGGTGAACATGTGGAATCGTTGACTTCTCGCATGTGACCCAGCTGAAGATACTCATCGATAAAGTTAGTGTAGGCTTGCTTCAGCGGAGGATTTGCATCGAGACGACGTTCTAAGGCGAGAAATCTTCTAGTGGCAATCTGCTTGGAATCTCCGAGTTGGGACAGAATAGATGTATGCTTGGGAAGGGTGACTACGAACCGTCCCGAATCATCCCGATATGTGTTTGCGACAAAATGTTCTTCACATGCGACTTCCTCCGCAGACTGGGTACTTGCTGACCAACATGACTCGACTTCCCAGAAACGAGTGATTAGTGAATCGAGAGACTGGTCACTGCATACGTGGGCTACCTTTGGAGTTGAGTCGCACTGTCCGGAACCTATTTTGCCTGACGCTACCCAACCGAAGACGGTGTTTTGGAGGATCGGCTTTTCAGGACCCAGCTTCGCGAATCCATCTAGCAGCAAGTCGTAGTATAGTTCCATGCCGAGGAGTATATCGATAGAGCTCGGCACAAAGAACTTCGGGTCTGCTAGGACAACGTTTGGTGGAAGTTGCAATGTAGAGGTATCAAGAGTTCTAGTAGGAAGATCTTGGGTGATATTTTTCAAGATGTGAAACGATTGAACAGCCTTGAAGTCCGTACAGTGAGACGCCATCTGAACGTGAACAGCGTAGGACGAAACGATTACAGAGTTGCCTACACCCCCAATCTCCTGATGACAGTGGTAGCGGCGCAACTTCAGCCTTTGGACGATGTTCTCGGTGATCAGGTTCAACTGCGACGCTGGATCTAACAGGGCTCTGGCCCACTGGGATTGTCCATTCGAAGCGAACACCTTGATGATTGCCGTCTGCAGCAGCACAGTAGCAGGAACAGAAGGAGCTCCGACGACGTTGGTGGACACAAGGCTAGTGGCAGAGGGCTGTTGGGATCCAGACGATGACGACGACGATGGCGAGTGAGTTTGCGAGAAGGACTGATTCGGAGGATTTCCCGGCTGGACAGGAAATGAACGTGGAGCGTTTGGGTTAGTAGGAGTAGATGGATGATCAATCGATGCTTGATGGAGCATAGTGTGATGCCTTTGGTGACACTTGTCTACTCGGCATGTACCAGATGAACATTTGCGAACCATGTGCTCCGGCGATAAACAATTAATGCACAAGTTCTTTTTCTTCACAAGATCGAAGCGTTGCTTAACTGACAACCCTTGGAAGAATTCGCATTTGAATGGAGAGTGGGCGGACTTCGAGCAAAACGGACACGAGCTGGTCGCTGAACTGGTGACGGCGTAGACGGCCTTTGATTTCAGCGGCCGATGCTGCTCCGGTTTGTGAGAATCCGACGAATACGATTTGGGCGACGGCAACGACTGGAGAACGGATAAATGACCACGCAAAAAGGCCATAAGATCGTGGTATTCTGGAACTTCTGTTGAACGATAGAATGACTCCCACTGCTTGAGGGTTGAGGGATCGAGACGACAGCAGACCATGTGAGCCAGAAGTACACTCCAGTTCTCCGTTAAGAATCCCATTTTGTCAATCATCTTTAGGTTTCGCTCGAACTCGTCGACCAACCGCGTCAACGATTCATACGATTCCCGTTTCATGGGCTCAATCGAAAATAGAGCGTCCATGTATGTCTTGAAGATAAGCTTCTTATTCTCAAACCTATTTTCAAGCAGCTGCCAGGCGACAGGATAATTGGCAGCTGTAAGCTCTATAGCTTCGATCACCTTCCTCGCGTCTTTCGTCAGAGACGCCATAAGGTAGGAAAATTTATCGAAATGCGACAAATCAGCATTGGAGTCGATAAGCGATTTGAATGAATCGCGAAAAGTGATCCATTCCGAAATGGTGCCATCAAAACTTGGCAGTTTCACATTAGGCAGATTGACCCGCGACTGAATAGGTGGATGTTGGTTGAGGTTAGGTTGGGAACACGATGCATGCATTTTAATTTCGTTAGCCAAGAAGCTGTAGACCAAAACGTAATCAAGTTCGAATTTCTGCCGAATAAGCCGATTGCTTTCTTGAGCGGCAGCCTTCTCCGCTTCCTTTTCTGCAACCTTAACTTCATCTTCTTCCTGCTCATCTTCATCTTCATCGTCGAACGATAATTCAATGGCCAGGCGATTGGCATGAAATTTCTCATCCAAGCCATCAATCCGTTGCTTCCATCCTGCTAGATGCCCTCTGTGTTGCTCTGCGTCGTAACCAGAAACAAATTGCTTTGCGTTGGCCAACGTGTCCAAATAGAACCGCTCTTGGTGACAAAGTGTCCTCAATCCCGGTGCCATCTTCCACAGCGACCAGCCAAGCCCAAAAGATGTTCAAAAATGCGAATCTCTCACTACCAGAGCCCACAACGCAACCTACACTAAGCTTGGATGAAAGCAGCAGTGACGTTCGATCGAGTGTAGCAAAATCGATCAATTGATTGAATCACTCTTAACTTCGCAGAAAGCTCAAATTTATCTTACGTTTTCTCAATGCCTATTTGCATGCAGTACTCACGTGCTTATAGTAATTAATACTACCGATGACCTTGTCCGACGATCAAAAGATTAGGTTCCTTTGTCCACTCAGGACAATGCAGACCCAAGCCAAGCCTTGCCTTATGCCACGAGGTTCCACAATGTTCGAAGAAATTCTTTTCTATCACTTGCAGCCGGAATGATTTTCAGCGCAATTAATCAGAAACGACAGTTCACTTTGCGCACACTATTCGTTTCTTATTACAGGTCACAAACAATGTTCTCCACACTTCACACGCGGCGAAGGGTTCGAGAGCCACACGATAGGCAAATTTTCACCTTTACCGACAGCGAGAATAGTTCACTAAAAACTGTCCGCGATTGTCCGTATTAAATCGCGCACATCCGGTTCGAAGGACCATAAAATGATTAAGCGGGGTCGACAAAGGCGCGAGAATCGGTGGCAATCGAACACTACTTCTTTCCGTTAGCAATAGGAAAAAAACGCGCGGTTCAAAAACGACACGAATCAAGATTTATTTCACTCTCCCGGTTATCGTAAGATAGAAGCGGACGACGTGTATATAGGTACGTTTGGATTGATGTGTATATTTCGACTGATCTGTCGGTCCAGCACAGAGATCTGATCTCTGCTGGGAGAATCAATATGTGAAAACGGATTGGCAAAAGGCCTTTCCGATCGATCACTGCTTCGATAGCCGAAAGCAGTGATAAGCTTATCTAACTGTGTTGCTGTATACATATAATGATCGAATGTGTAGTGTGATACAGAGGACGGAAATTCAATTATATGCTAAATCAGCACGAGTATTTTCTTGTTAGGGTGGTGCTCTAACAACCTCATTGCACGAATAGCCTCCAATGAGCTAAAAATGAAATAATGGTCAGAAGATAGTGAGGCAATTCGCTCTACTGCGTAAAATATAGCTGCGAGTTCCGCAACCTATACGTAGCATGGTTTCTGCAGTTTATAAAGGGTGTCCACGATGAAATTGCCACACACAAAATTGATTCGCAAAATTCGAGTTTTCATCCGATTGCCATCAAATTTTCAGGGATTAAGAAATAACTATTAAACTTCATTTTACCATTTTACTCGTATTTTATTTACAGTCCATACGCAAATGCCCGCACCTTGGCCTTAACCCCGGCCATAAGATTCTGCACAACCTGTGAATCAACCGTTTTTTGCATGTAAACCCATACTTTCTTCAGTTCCTCGACTGTCTTCACTACCTTAGGTCGTTTAAGAAGGTGCCGCTTCATAATCGCCCAGTACTTCTCGATGGGGCGGAGCTCCGGAGTGTTGGGAGGGTTGAACATTTTCGGCACGAAATTGACCTTATTGTCCGCATACCACTTCAGCACGTCCTTGGAGTAGTGGCATGAGGCCAAATCCGGCAAGAAGATTGTTGGGACGTTGTGGGCCTTCAGGAGAGGAAGCAGCCGCTTCTGGAGGCACTCTTTTATGTACACCTGTCCGTTCATCGTGTCCTGGGTCACGAAAGGTGCACTCCGCTTCCCGCACGTGCAGATGGCTTGCCAAACCAGGAATTTCTTCGCAAATTTGGACATCTTCTGAGTGCGGACATGCTCCGGAACGCTGAACTTATCCTTGGCCGTGAAAAACAGGTTGCCGGGGATCTGTTTGAAGTCGGCCTTCACATATGTTTCGTCGTCCATGATGCAGCATTCAACTTTCGTCAGCATGTTGAGGTACAACTTCCTGGCACGGGTTTTGGCGGACTTGTTCTGCTTCTCGTCGCGATTAGGGGCCTTTTGTACCTTGAACGTTCGAAGCCCAGCCTTAGTTTTGGCCTTCTGGACAAAACTTCGGCTTAGGTGCAGCTTCTTAGCCACATCCCTAACGGAGGCGTTCGGATTTCGGTTGAAGGCCCCAACTACGCTGTTGTGATTTTTGGTGTTGTACGGAATACTTTTTCCTTCACTTCTGGGCTTCCGATCGGTGGTCAACCGTTCCTCGAACCGCTTAATCACTCGCGACACCGTGGAATTCGCGATTCCCAACGTTTTAGCGATGGAACGATGCGAGAGATCCTTGTTCTCGTGATGAATGCGCAAGATTTTATCACGCACGAGCTGTTCTTTCGACTCCATTTCCGCGAGTTTTGATCACAGGACTTTAAAACTTGCAGGATGTAAATAATGCACTATGAACTAAATCCACCCAAATTTTCATTAAATTCTACCCAACGGTTAAAAAGTTAGAGCAATTAGTGTGGCAATTTCATCGTGGACACCCTTTAGGAGGCGCTATGAAATTGATTAAATGCACCAAATCCATTGGAAGCATTTATGGTTGACCCATCTGTGAAAAATCTTTTATCGTTACTTATATGGAGGTACTTGATTGCAAAAATTGAGGGAACAACCATCGACCGATGCTGATCTGGTATTCCAGCATGTGATGATCATCTGCTACCAGCCGAACAAGGTGATTCAGAAATATTAGCAAAACCTGACGTGAAAGAGGCCATCGTTGACATGAAGACTGCAAACACTTACACACTTCATATTCAACTACACGAGACTGCCAAGAATATTATTTCAGAAACAATACAAAACGGAAACGGACATTCACTTAGTAAAACCGAAAAAGAGGAAATTCAAAGTCTCAAAGAACTAAAAACATAGCCGGTATTCTATACAGAAACGAACAAAGGTAATGCAGTAGTGATTTTGGACAAAGAAGACTATGACAATAGGACGATGGAAAAAATACTAATAGCCCATACAGGCAGCTTAGGATTCACCCTAGCAATGGGCGATCTTGGATCAAAATACAAAAGATCGATTATTTTGGTACGATTAATCGATTTTTTGAATCGATCACAAACACGAAAAAATCGACTGGATCGATCATTTTTAGTCAATTTTTTGCAATTTAATATTGATGTTTTTTGCCTTTACCTTTGCATATCACTTGCCTTGAACATGGATTCTGCTAAACAACCAGTGTGACAGTTCAGTAGGCAAGAACGAGAAAGAGAAAGTTTTGGGCGACTGAGATGATTATAGACCTTTCTGACGTTTGATTGTCTTTCAATATCTAGCACACATGGATGAACGGACGGTCTGTTTTCCCACTAATCTGTTTCCCTCTTGCTCTCGCTTATTCGATTTAAATAGTGCAGTAGTGCACTGCAGTTTGACGAGAGGTTCAACCACGTTGAGCTGGTGGATACGTTTGCTATTGCAACGCCCCTTGATCCCCGTTTCAAAAAACTGTACCTGGAGTCTGGAAAATCCGTAGTGAATACCCCCATGTATACCACATTGCTCGAGACTATTTATCAAAAATGATAACAAATTTTCCGTCAGACAGACTTTTCTCTGAAACTGGTGAAACCACACAGAATCGATATCGGCCCAATGCAAAACGCATGGCTCAATTAGCTTTCTAGGGGTTCTTTTCGGATGAGTTTTGGGATATCTGAATTAAGTACTTTCCGTACTTACCTGGTTTTGCTCACTCCGACCATCTAATCGTTTTGTTTCATATGTTAACCTTTCGTTTTTAAAGTTGTTCATTTAATACCAATAAACGAATATTATAACCTCTTAAATCACTCACCTAATCAAGTATCCTGAGCAAAAACTTCCACATGTCAAATTAAATCATAATAGTCATTTACTTTATAATCTCATCATGTATGTATGTTACACTCACAACTTTTACTGCGTACGTACTACACAATTTATTTCTAAATTATGTCATATAAATGACTATAAAAAGTGAAATATAATAACAATATAGCTTAAGTAACGTGATATCAATTTTAAACTGAACTTAATTTGCACCAACTTTCCTATGATCCGTTATATTTGAAACATTTTTGTGCCATTTTGAAAAATGAATCGATTCAAAAGATCGATTCAAAAAGAACAATTCAAAATTATTGAACTGAAATCGGTGAATCGATTCACTAAGATTGCCTAATGCTAATTAAATCCCTCCCATCTATGGTTAAACATGTGGATAAAACGTTGAAAGAGTGATGGGCGTTTATTGGCAACACTACGAGTCAATTGAAAGTTTCAAACCCTGCTCTACAAAGGATCAAAGGTTTACCAAAGATTCACAAACCAGGAAACGAAATCAGGGAGATTATCTCGGCTGAAGGATCCCCCACTCATAAGCTTGCCAAATGGCTAATAAAGGAATTTCAAAATATGCCTAACCCCTTTTCCTCTCGCTCAGTTAACAGCAGCAGCACACGGGAATTCGCAAATCAATTTCAGGCATCAGGAGAGATTCGAAAAGATAAAGTCATAGTTTCATTTCATGTCACTGCACTTTTTCCTACTGTACCAGTAAACGAAGCCATCTACCTTTTAGAGGACTGGCTGCTGAAGCAGCGTGGGGATTCCACTTGGGAAAACAAAGTTCGGTCATATCTCAAGCTTACTCGAGCTAAGATTTGTCCGACAAATGCAACTTAACAGCTACGCTACTCAACTAAGACTAATTTATTGCCATTCAATTATGCTACAGTTCACCTACGATGGGTTTGCATTCTCAGCACCTCGTGCACCGCTCGCGATGTTGCTGTTGCCGTGTTGAATGATTATGCTGACACTGGCATCACCGTCGATGAAATTTGCCAAAGTCCCGGTAGCTAACGTCGTTAACTTACCCCTTCTTAGAGATGATCCTCCATGGGCATAATATCCGCTATTATGAGTTTGTGGAATTTACCGATGACCTCTTTAGACTCCGTTTCTCCATGATGATCCTTGATATTTAATGTGGGTTCCGGAATGTTTTGAAACGTGACCTT